TGCCGATTGTCCGGTGGGGAGCACAGGACATGAAACGGGTAAGAGTGGAGCAATGGGACTGCGGGAGGATGGATTTCATGAGGGATGACATGGACCAGCACTTCCAGAACCTTCTACCACCACAAACATTGGCAACAAGTGTCTCACAGTTAACTGTAGGAATACGTCTTCATGTCTATGTCCATATCAGAGGCAGGTTTCTCACCTTCCTTTTGTACTGCCAATCTAGATTGGAGAAGATGACTATCTATAGTAAGATGGACAATTATTTGGGGAGGGAAAGCAAGATGTAAACTTTTACATTGTGATCACAGAGTAAGACATGAGAGTCTCACTGAGAGATCTTTGCTTGCACAAAGCGTTTAGATAGAGCCATTCTGGTTCTACATCTGTTGCTAATGCAGAATGGGGAAAAAGGAGATGTTTAATTAAATGCACCTGATTTGCACCATTTCTTCATATGACTGTGCCTTTGGAAGGGGAGCACTGCCTTCTTTTAGGACGTCATTACACTGTTACGTGGCTCATGTGGCTCAATGCAAATGAAAATCTCATTCATTTAATCATATTCTGCTTGTTGTTTATATTCCACATTGTTCACTGAGCTGGCAGTGTGAGTCAGAACCAAAAGCAAAGTGGGAGGGCTATTCCCTTGCTGGCCTTTTACAGATTCTTTCTCTGCAGGAGAAGGCAGCACGACCCAGCTGTTTCAGACCTGGAGGAATGAACTCTAAGGGGATGATTATCCTTAGGTTTAGGAGAAAAGATGTAAATGATGCTGGGTCTTTGCAGTTCATCCTTCCCTAAAAGCTTGTCCAACAATGGCCTGGGAAAGAGCTCTCTCTGCCGATGGGCCCAGCATGGAGAGCAGCTTTCAGGGTGGATGGAGCGGAGATGTTCAGGCTGAAAGGTGAGGCAAGCATCCCCATCATGCTGTGTGAGACCACCTCTGGAAGACTCCACATACCAGGGAACATGACAGACGACACAGGCTGCCATTTGCCCTGAAGGTGGCATGTCTTGGGCACATTGAAGTGAAGAGAGCAGTTGAGCACAAAGCTTTATCCCTGGGGGTGTCTGAGTGGAGCCCATGCCCTGTCCTTGAAACGCTTGTGTTTTTTGCCCAGGTGGACATGCACTCAGAGCAGCATCAGTCCCCAGTACAACATCTGTGAGCAGATGGTCCAGATACGAGATGACCACATCCGCTTCATCTCAGAGCTTGCTCGCTACAGCAACAGTGAGGTAAGCTCAGCTGGGAATCGCCATAATCAGGCTTATTAGATAGATGGGGCTTGAAGAGGACAAGTGTGGCAGGAGTATGTTCTGCCTCTGACGTACATTGAGGAGGGAAGAAGGACATAGATGGAACAAACCACTTCTCAATCCACCCATTAAAAAGCAGGTTGTGAAAGGCCCCCAGCAGGTCCAAAGTCATGTGCACCAGAAGATCTACTACAACAGCTTTTGGTCTTTGACCACAGTTTTGTTAAGAAGCAGAAAAGATTTTGCAGCTAAGTGTTTATGAAGAGCCAGGGGGCAGAACACGCAGGACTTGCAAATGGGTCTTTTCTGTTACACAGAGCTATGGGTCAGGGCTTCGAGGAGAGTTCATGAGAGCATCTCTGTTCTTTTCGTTACTGAATGCCTGCACCCTCTCTGATGCACAAAAACTGTGACTGGTTTTTGCAGATGTATGATCCTCATTCACCAGTGTTAGTTTAATGAATTGTTAGCATTCTCAACCCTTTTCTTTTTGGCATTTGTAAATGCTTATTTGATCTTTAAATCAGGAAAGGACTTTCAAGGATTTCAGTAGTATTAGATTATCAAAAAGGAATAGGAAAGCAGAATGAAAACAGTCAGTTATGTGCTCTGAGGTGACAGGTCAGACTCATTTTTCTGTAGGAAATTGACTGCCTGGGCAAAAAGAGCCTTGCCAAGTTATACCCCTTTTCCTGAGGGACAATATATGCACTGCTCAGTTTTATCTTGATTGTGTAAGGTCACGGGGAATTCATTTCAGCTGGGATTTGAAAAGCAATCTGTGGCTGCTATTTGGCTCAGTGAAGCCTCTGCAGCAAGTTGCTGAGTCCAGCCCTGATGTGATGTGATGTTCTCCAGGTGGTCACTGGCTCAGGACTGGACAGCCAGAAATCAGATGAAGAGTACAGGGAGCTCTTTGATCTCGCTTTACGGGGACTGCAGCTGCTGTCCAAGTGGAGTGCCCACGTCATGGAAGTGGTGAGTGCATTCATGGAAGTGTTGGGTGTGTAACGTCCTCCTCTTCCCAGGTGAGCATGAACGTTTCAGCATGGCACGTAACAGACTGTGAAAGGTGAGCTTGCTTTCATGCCACCCAGCTTTAAGCCATCAACAAACATGCTAAGATCAGGCAGCTAATGACCCTGAACACCCTCTGTACCAACTGGAGAAAGAGAGCTTGATCATCTCACCCTGGACCTGCCCACTCTTTGCAGGTGCTGGGGTGTCCCCACTGATGTTAGAGGGGGACTGGGTGACTGGGTGACTGTTCTCCTAACCTGAACACCTTGGTTAAGTCGTGAAAGCTGATTGGGATAAGTCTGGGCCTTGAGCAACTAAAACTGCAATTCAGATGATGATGGAAATTCTTAATTTGCAAGATTTCAGCCACATCTCAACACAAGGCCATGGTCGTCAAAACATGACTGGTAACCTCTGAGATAAACAAAACCAGTGTTCAGTGCCATGATAATAAAGCCAGGAAGAAACACAAATTCTGCTCCCAAACGAACGTCAAGCAACTGTAGTAAATTCTGCTCCCAAACAAATGTCAAACAACTGTAGTAATGTCTAGGGAGTGTTTTCCTGGCATAGGGCCTTCTTCAGTCCTTCCAGCCTGGCTTCTTACTCATTGCAATGTTGACAGTGTCTTTTCCATTTTTTAGTACTCTTGGAAGCTGGTTCATCCCACAGATAAATTCTGTAACAAGGATTGCCCAGGAACAGCAGAAGAATATGAGAGAGCCACACGGTATAACTACACCAGTGAAGAGAAGTTTGCTTTTGTGGAGGTAGGTGCCAGCTACAAAAGAGTAAGAACCAGCCAGGGCTGGTTTCCTGTCTCATGTTCCTCAGGCCAGGGGAAAAGGAGGAAAGGGCATCTCACCATATTCAGCCAGTTCCTCATTCCCATGGGATTAAGGGTTCTGACATCCCTGCAGCCCTTAGTTTGCCCAGAACCACAAGCTGCAGAGGAATCTCTGAGTTTCTCTCGCATATTCTCATCCCTCTCTCTCAGCTGCAGTTGTGCAGGGGTTTTTCCCCCTTCTTAAATGCATTATCCCAGAGGCACTCCCACCATTGCTGATGGGCTTGGCCTTGGCCAGCGGCGGGTCCATCTCAGAGGGAAGGTTCTAGCAGCTTCTCACAGAAGCTCCCCCTGCTACCAAACCCTTGCCATGCAAACCGAATACAGCAGCCCTGCAAGAGCAGTGTGATCTGGAGCAAGATCAGGAGCTACATACAGGCGCTGTGCAAACACAAGTGAGCCTGGCTGAGGGAAGCCTCCAAATCTTCATCTTCCTTCACACATTCCAAGGTGGTTTGAATAGTGCTTTAATTTTTGTGGCTCACTCCCTCCTGGGAATTTCCTCTGTAGTCCTGTACAGGGAGGACTGTGCCCTGCTGCAGATGCAGGTCTGTGGAAGCCACACAGTGCATCCACATGTGGAGCATGTGCAGTTTCCTGGGATTATGTGTTATTAAAGATACCAAGAGATCAGGAGTGGAAACAGCCTGCCAAGGGACAGGGACCATTTGCAAGAAACTAGTGGTGTAAATGCTCTCCTCAGCTTGTTGTGATCTGTAAAGCAGCTAATGTCAAAAAAACCACCCACCTAATTACTGGATCTAAGTTACTTCAGTAGAATTAATTTAGTCCCAGGTTCTCTTAATGTTGGATTTATGGACCTCTTCTTACAATGGAAAAATAGCAAATACATCCAGTTTTATTTTTACTTCAGGTAATTGCCATGATCAAAGGTCTGCAAGTGCTGATGGGCCGGATGGAGAGTGTCTTTAACCAAGCCATCCGCAACACTATCTATGCAGCCCTGCAGGACTTTGCCCAGGTGACCCTGCGAGAGCCACTCAGGCAGGCGGTCAGGAAGAAGAAGAACGTGCTGATCAGGTCAGTCTGTCCTTCTTGAATGTAAAGCAAAGCCTTACGTAAAGCAAAGCATTTGTTTAATTCTTTGGTACTCTATAAGCACGTGGCCCTGCATATACATCAGGCTATACAACCAGCCAACATACCTTGGCCAGCAGCTCTTTCTAAGGTAACTTCTGGGCATCACTCCCCCCGTAACAACAGTGTACGTCCCCATCTCAGATACTTTTCCTCCCACAAGTGCACAGCAGTTAATATTTTAATCTTGAAGAATTAAGCTTAAGCACTACTTTCCCTCTCCCATCTATTCCAGTGTCCTTCAGGCAATTCGGAAGACGATCTGTGACTGGGAGGGAGGTCGAGAGCCTCCAAATGATCCTTGCCTGAGAGGTGAAAAGGATCCTAAAGGTGGATTTGATATTAAAGTCCCACGACGAGCAGTAGGACCATCAAGTACACAGGTATGTAAACATCCATCTCCTGTGTAAGGAATTAATGGTCTTACAGCCATGTAGGAGTCTCCCACCCTGTGAAGTAGCAGCTGTTTCCACGGTCTGTTCCACAAAGTCTTCACATTGTTGTGTGTTAAATGTTGTTTTGATGCCTAATTTGTTGTACAGTTCCCAAAGCCTCCTTTCTTAGGGTGTAATTATTTCTAGCTCTGAAAGATAGTACCTTACAGGAGAGGTATTAATTTTTATTGCAGAGCACTATGGCTGTGTGTGGTGGTGTTTCACTGCAGGGGGTAACTGCGTGTCGACTCTTTCTTCCACAGCTTTACATGGTGCGGACCATGCTGGAGTCCCTCATAGCAGACAAGAGTGGCTCAAAGAAAACACTGAGGAGCAGCTTGGATGGGCCAATAGTCTTGGCCATTGAGGAGTTCCACAAGCAGTCCTTCTTCTTCACCCACCTTCTCAACATCAGCGGTGAGGTTATGGCAGGGGGAGGCTCGAGTTCAACTCTTGCATACTCAGAAAAGCAAAGATAGATCAGCTTTGCTTCTTGTTGACTGTGTAGATTTTCCTTGATTTTTTCCAAGTGTCCCAATTCTGCCTGATTCAGGCATGTTTTAGGTAGTAATCATTATGTGAACAGGAACAAGTTATCAATATGAAATAGCAATAGGTGGCAGTTTATTTTCTAGGACTAGAGTTTTCTTTCTGTCCCAGACAAACTTCTGAGCCACCGGGAACAGCAGAAATCTTCCAGAGTAACTCTGAGCCATTGAAATGTTCTCCTTGGAGCTCTAGAGCAAAAAGAACTATCCCTTCTTTTTTCCTCCACTACAAAGTGCTCAGACAGCATGGACATAGTCTGGGTTTGAAAACAGAGAGATGCTATAAAAGTGTTCCATACCCAAAACCAGTCCAGTTTGAGGCTGCAGGAGCTGCCTCCTGTGCTCTCCCCTTGCTGCCATCCCCATGGGGGTGACGTGGGTGCCCTCCCTCTGGGGGGATCTCCTCTACATTTCAGAAGCGCTGCAGCAGTGCTGTGACCTGTCCCAGCTCTGGTTCCGGGAATTCTTCCTGGAGCTGACCATGGGCCGCCGCATCCAGTTCCCCATTGAAATGTCCATGCCCTGGATCCTCACGGACCATATTCTGGAAACCAAAGAACCCTCCATGATGGAGTAAGAGCTGATGTGCTGTGCTGGGACTGTGTATGTGCTGGGGCTTGGGATTTTGTTTTCAGAAGGGTAGGCTGGTGATGAACAGTCTTTTTGATGTGGAGGGAAAACAGATATTTCCTGACTTGCTGTCACATGGATATATACTATATGAGTACGTTGTTAGTAGATGCACACAGCTTTCTGTACTGGCACTTACTTATGCATCATAAACTGTATTTGGATGTGGGCACAACTTGGTGGTACCGTCATCTGCATGCAGCAGTCAGACAGCATGTGCAACCAAAGGGATGTGGGCCCTGGGTAAGGCATCTAAACACTTTTTTTTTCATATATGTGATAAGTAATGAGAAGAATTGCTGTTATGCAAGTGTAGTTATGTTCAGAATATCCTCCTCTAATGAGGAGGATAAAAGAAGAAAACTTTGTTTTCCATTTAATGGCCATTGTCAGATCGTTCTGTGGAGTGAGGGCAGGGTGAAAGCTTTCTTGAGGGCAGAGAAGGAGCAAATGTTTGATTGAACAAGTCACAGCTCAAATCTAGATCTGTTGTAGCTGCTTCCAGCAGGACAAAAAGAGCAAGAGGGAGTATTTGAGGAGCTGGAGGGAGTGGAAATGATAGAAGTGAAGTCAGAGAAAAGCCACTTTTTGCAATGAGCAGGGCACATACACTGCCTGCTGTTTATGCTGATATGCTCCAGAGTCAATTTAAGACATGATCTGTCTTCTTGCCCCCAGGTATGTACTGTACCCCTTGGATCTCTATAATGACAGCGCATACTATGCCTTGACCAAGTTCAAAAAGCAGTTCCTATACGATGAAATTGAAGCTGAAGTAAGTTCTCTTCATCTTTATTGCATGGAAGTAGCTCACTGGGGTCACATTGCCCTGTTTGACAACCTCACCTAGCAGTTCAGTGAATTCATCATAGTCACCTCAGAAAAAAACACCCCATCAGACTGAGAAGTTTTCAAAAGATCAGGATTTCCAGAGAAGTGATTAAGGGCTTCAGCTTTGCTGTACCCATGGGGAACCATGGAAGCCAAAGGCTGTCAAACATTGAAGAGTCTGTCTGATGGGCAGAAGGTTATGAGACATCAGAGCAAAATGAGAAATCAGAGATCCTGGAGAGGGAAGGATGATTGAGGGTGGGGGACCAGGACCTGTAAGAATATGCAGAAACTATAAGAGAGAAATGTGACTGCAATTTTCTGTTTAACCTCAGTATGTGAGAACCTCAGTGCAGTTTTCAGATAGCATGACATACATGTATGTATTAAATTAGAGCTCTGTTGATTAAATTAGAGCTGTATTGATCTTGCATGTGTAGGAAGGAGATGCTCTGTGCTGGTACAACCTCACAAAGTGTTGTTTTTTCTCCCCCAGGTGAATTTATGCTTTGATCAATTTGTGTACAAGCTGGCAGATCAGATCTTTGCCTATTATAAAGCAATGGCTGGCAGGTAGGAGAACCTGACTGCTGATGATGACTGATGATAATCACTGTATCCAAATTGCTGTTAACCAAAAGTTTTCCCTCAGGGAGTAACCACTGCAAGTAGACACAACAAAATAGATCATCCCTGTCCTACAGAGCTGACTGTCCACGTCATATCAGTATAGATGTGGAAATGAATTAATGGTGGCAAGGAGACATGGTTAAAAGTGAAAAAATAATAATTGGCATCCTAAGTAGCTTGCTGAGTACAGTTTGGGAGAGCAGCAGAAAAGCAAACTGAGCCTACTGAAGACATGTCCTTGCTTGACTTCTGTTTGTGTACAAAGCAGATGAGTGAAAGCCTCCCCTCTGTAGGAAACAGGAACGTGCACTTGTCCTCACCTTAGTAAATCAGAAGAACTTGTAAAAGTGAGAAGGGTAACTCAGTATCTTAGGTCACACATCAGACCTGCTGTCTGTAGGACTTCTGCAGAGTCACTGACTCCCTTATGGGAAGATAAGCCCTTTGTGACATTTGCTTCTTACCAATTTAAAGAACATGGATGAACTCTAGTGAGAGTCCTCCTCTCATGTCCCCAAGCAAGTCTTTGGTGTAACTCTGCAAGGAGTTTTGTCTCTAGATCAGATTTGGCCTTAGAGAAGGAGGGCAATCACCATCATCAACCAAATGTTCCCACAGCAGATGTTCAAGGAGGGAGCACACCTGTGGGACAACTCCAGTACCTGGCATTAGTGATACCTTTCAGCACAATCTTTTATCTTTTTGAATGATGTAGCTTTAAAAGCTAAGAATGATGGACAACACTATGGCATTCCCCAGATAACAACCGCTGTTCTGTGATTTAGTGTTTTAAACAGTTAATAGCGTGTGGAAATTTCTTGGCATTCAGAGCAAGATGAAAAGAAAGGCTAAAACAACTCTGAAAAGATCCAGACAGAAGCTGATAGTGTGTGTTTCTTTTTTCCTGACACTGCTTCCTCTTTTTCAGTGTTTTATTGGACAAACGTTTCCGGGCTGAGTGTAAGAATTATGGGGTGATTATTCCATACCCACCATCCAACCGCTACGAAACGCTGCTCAAGCAGAGGCATGTCCAGGTACTATGAAAGCAGTAGACTCCAGTACTTAGAGCCTTTTGTTGGTGGCTGCCATCCTAGTGCTGGGCTCAGATGAGGATGGTGCTGGAATGAGAAGGGTTGAACCCGTTTCTGACACACCACGCTCAGGGCATGGGGCCTGGGGGGAAAATGAGTTGTGCTCCACATTTCCCTCCTTCCCTCTTAAATAGTGATAAACACAACTGGGGCATTTGCATCACTACTTTCACTTTTAAGCAGGCTTGGATGTTTGGTTTTAATTTGTGTCTGTTACAAAAAACCTGAAGTACCTTTTCCCCATCTGTATATAACATGCAAACGTCTTCTCTTCCCAGTTGCTAGGTAGATCAATTGACCTGAACAGGCTCATTACCCAGCGTATCTCAGCAGCGATGTACAAATCCTTAGACCAGGCCATTAGCCGCTTTGAGAGTGAGGACCTGACATCCATAGTGGTAAGAACTGTTAACTGACTGTGAGTATGAATAGGGAACAATACAGTGCTATGGATACAGTTAACTATCTTCTGCTTCAAGTCCCACCTACAGTAGGTTTCGGCCAGCCATGTGTCCTCCTTTATGCTGCCGTGTCTCTACTATTTCTGCTTATGAAGCTTTAATTGCATTATTGCTGGACCATTAAGTGTCTGCATAAATCGTAAGGAGACAGTCAGCAGTTAGATATTGTAGAGCTCATCTAAGAGAGTTCTGTAATCTGGGAGAAGGAAATCCTGGCTTTGATTCCCCTGCTGGGTAAAGGTGGCTGAGGCATTGTTTGTGTGTGTACAGGATTTGCTGTCTGATACGTTACAGGAGCATCAGAGTCAAGCAGTGTAAAATTACTAGTTTCCACCTTTGGAGGATTCTGGTGTGAAAGCCAGCCAGCACTCAGTGGGGAACAAACTCATTTTGCTTCCTGCAGGTTTTAGAGATACCAGACCAGGACACCCTTGAGTGGAAGTGCAATTGGCCTTGGCCACTGGGTTAAACAGATATCTTTAGCATTTGCTACATCCTCACCTGAAAAGTTCTGTGTGGGTGTGGATGTAAAATCATTCCCTTGGCAATGAAATCAGCTGTTTCTATTGTCATCTTGGTAATATCTTGCATTTGCTGCTGCTTTATGTGCTGCAGGAGCTGGAGTGGCTCTTGGAAATAAATCGCCTGACTCACAGGCTGCTGTGCAAGCACATGACTTTGGACAGCTTTGATGCCATGTTCCGGGAAGCCAACCACAACGTCTCTGCACCCTATGGGCGCATCACCCTCCACGTCTTCTGGGAGCTCAACTTTGACTTTCTACCCAACTACTGCTACAATGGATCCACCAACAGGTGAGGAGGAAAAGCAAGACAGGGGCTACTGGAGACCCTGCTCTTCTTTCAAAGTGTCAAACCTGCCACATGAAATTCACATGCGTTGCAGTGAGGTTTGCATTCCCTATGGGATACAACGGTTACACTTAAAATGAAGTTAAAGCCCGTCAGCTCCCCTTGGCCTTGAAAATGTTAGTAGCAAATTCAAGTGAGTGAGTTGTAAGCAGCAGAGCGAGTGTGGTTTGGAGGGTTGGTTTACTGAGCAGCTGTAGTAGCTGCTCATACATGGATTTCTAGCCTACCCCAAATAGGAAGAAACCTCACCTTTGGTAGGTTAAACTGATGTTTTACGCTACCAAGAGATTAAGACAGGAGTTTGCGTTCCAGTTCCTGTGATGAGCTGCTAATTAGCCTGCAACTGCAGTTTATCCCAGACCATCCCGTATCTGTGCTCAACACAACTAACCAGGCTCTGACCACTTTCCTCCCTGTCTCCTGTGCCTGCCACAGGTTTGTGAGGACAGCAATCCCGTTCACACAGGAACCCCAGCGGGACAAGCCAGCCAATGTTCAGCCATATTACCTCTATGGATCCAAGGTCAGTAAATGAGCCACAAGAGCCAGAAGGGGTGGATGTTGGAAGTATTTATTTAGGAAGAAAGAAATGCAAGAATTACTTCATTAACAGAATGGTGGGTGCAAATTTACAGGGTCACATTGCCGTGTGAAACCAAAAAGCCATGCAAGCAGCAGATTCAGTGTGCTTTTGCTATTGCTTTCCTATATTTTTCTCCATAACATGCCTATGTTAGGGGATGCTGACACTCCTCTGTGCTTGGTGTTGGCATTGAGACCAAGTCACATCCACCCAAATGCAGATAGAGGAAAGCAAGTTTGAGCTCCAAAGCAGTGCTTCTCCCCAAGGAAGGTACTTCAGGAAACCTATTTGTAGTCCAAAATGGGAATTACTAAAATACTTGTGTGTGCGAAAGAGACTACTTGATACTGACAACACCTCTTTTGCCAGGCTGTGATGACTGTTTATACAGGTGTTACGAGGGCTTAGGGTGTGATGCTAGTGGAGGATCACTCAAGTGTAAAACTACTTGAGTGGAGTTTGTCGTGCACATCGATGGATGACTCTGAAGTGAATCTACAGCACTGATGCAGATTAGCTAATGACACTGCAGTCGGCTGAGCCTGGTCCTTCCCAGAGACCTGACTTGGTTTCTTTCTACAAAGCCTCAGCAAATGAGAATATTTTTGCCACTTGACAAAAGTCTTTCTCCCTACAACCAATGTCCCTGCCTCATGTTCTACCCTGGGACAAAAAGCCCCCATAGACACACAGACAGTCCTGTTGGCAAGAGCTGGGAAAGAGCAGCGTGAACCAAGCAGGGTTCTCCAAGCAGGATCTCCCTTTATTTTGCTCTCATTGAAGGCCATGCTGTGGCAAGATGGCCTTTTTATCATCACTGGTTTTATAGGAAAAAAAGCTGTGAGGGGAGCTACAGGGGCTCTCCCTCATGAAGCTGGAGCTCCTCATTAGTACGGTGGTCATGGGGACTTCCAGAAACTCCTCTCTCAGTCCATCATCCAGTGGCCTCTCCAGCGAGCTGCTCCCTTCTTCACGGCTGGCATTGGGATGCTTCAGCCTCACAGCCCGGTGGCACCGTGCAGACCAGAACTGCAGGCAGCCGTAGGCCAGGAGAGCAGAGAAGCAGAGGAGCAGCAGGCTGCTCACCATCCATATGGAAGTGGTAGGGTCATGCTTAGAGCCGCCGAATCATGCTTAGAGCCGCCGAAAATCAGAGGGGTTTTGTTCAGAGTGTGGAAGGTGGTGCAGTGGTTGCTGGAGGGGTAAGAGTTCTTGCATGTGATGCAGAGAACATAGATGGTGGATGGTGTGAGTCGGTGGAGGACGAGGGAGCTGAGTGGGTGAGGAACTCGCTCCTCACGGTGGAAGTTTTGGCGTAAATAGCCAGCGAAGATGCTGTTCCAGTTGGGGCGGTACATGACGTGGTAGTAGTTCTCTGGACAGGGGTTGCTCATGGCCCAGGAGACGGTGGCGCTGGTGTAAGTGATGTTGTGCACTTCGATATTCATTGCGTCCCTGAAACCAGATGCAGGGAGAGGCTGAGCTTCCTCATTCATATACAGGCTCAAGGGCCACTGACATCAGTAAAGTCTTTTCACCGCTTCACTGGCCCTTAGATCGGAGTCAGGACTATGCCTGGCTAGTTTAGATTAGCTGGTGGGTCTTAGATGGATAAAATTACAAAAGATGAATCCTGCTGGTGCCTGGACTACTGTATCACCCTGCTTCAAAAGCAGAAAAACAACTGGGACATAGCCATACTTTATGCCTTAGTTAGATTTTGGGTTTTTTTAATCTCTTCTTTCTGACTAGTTGTCTATACAGGAAGCTTTCTTAGCTTTTTTGTTTCCCATGGAATAGAAAGGACACTGCAAGTGTGATTAACATAAACTGATAATTAAGCTAGCTCCAGCTTGTGAAAGTGCCAACAAATACTTTGGTTTTACCCCTAAGTAACGTTTTAAAAGCTGCGTAATGATTAATTCACTGGTTTAAGTTTTTTGCTGCATTTGCTGTACCTTACTTGTTGCTTAATGGAGCATAAACTCTTTCTATTCCTGCAGCATCTCACACTGTAATATCGGGATCGTAAATATGAAATCTGGAGATTGATGAAATATAAAATCGATGCCTTTAGGGAAATACAAATACATGAGTAATAAGTACAAAGCTCTCCCTCAGATAGAAGACACTGACCACTAACAAAGTACTGTTTAGCAACCGCCACAAATCACTTCAGTCCATCACTCCTTTAGAGTGCTCTATGAACCTTGCTGCAGCATTCTCTCTCCCAACCATCCCAGTGCTCTAAGCAAGAGCTGCATGCAATAGAGCCGGTTTCTTCTTTCCCTCTTCCTCCCTCTCTATAACTAACTTTAGTTTATTCAAGAATCAGCTCGTCTCAATGACCAGTTCAGCCATTCTTACATGAAGAGCAGTGCAGCACATGCACCCATCGCAGAACCCTCCCGGGGCCAGGGCAGCCACTTACCTCCTGTTGGTGCTGGGGAGCAGTGTGGCCACAGGCAGGCAGAGCCTTCCCCTCTTCCCAACTGCTCTCCTCCCTCCTACCTCTGCGAAATCCCTTCCCTGTGCGCTGCCTTCTATTATATCCTTCTGGGGCTCCGTCATCTCTCACCATAGCAACCAATACGGAAGGATGGGCAGGCATCTTCAAGTGATTAGGGAATGTTATCCCTAAAAGCTTCTGCCTGGGAGACGTATGTCTCCCAAGCAAGCCAGGTAGTTTTGTTTGCTGGCTTGTTTGCAGTTTTCTGGTTTTCCCCTATCCGCAGTCCCCCAGCAAGACCATCACTGGTCCCCAGCAGGGTCTGCATTAGAGACATATTGGCACATGGTATGAAATGTGGGATCCTGGCCTGTGGTACACATTGATAGTTTAGCACTCCGGGGCTTTGTCTGTAATACTATGATTTCTTGCACATTCAAACTTCTGGTTTAAGCCAAACCCATCGAGCAGCAGATTTTCATCCCTGATGCTGCAGCAATGTCTATTAGGTTTTTAACATTTTCTAAGCTGTGCTATGAGAGCAGGAACTGGGTTTTCAAAGACTCTGACCTCCTGCTTA